ATATATCACATGAGAAATGTAGTCCAACGTCGAAGACCAACGTAAAAAACACGAGTGCATAAAATCATCCACAATAAAGTCATGTCTTTCAATTTATATTACGCTTTGGAGAGGATGTTTAGTACCAACAAAAAGTTCTAAAAACGAAGCCCAATGTCCGTTAAGAACCCCTAATTTTACTTTAAAAATGGACTCTAGCAATATTATGCATGAACCTACTTGTTGAGACTCAATTAAATCAGTCATTCTGAGAAATTAGGAATTTGGCAAGAGTGGATTGATTTAACACAGGGACATTCACCATTGACAAATAACTCTGCATCAGAATACCATCAAGTATGTCACCATGTTCGGTCGATGTTCCCTTGTTGAAATCCTCATTTTCTGGATCGAGAATCAACGAGTACATCCATGTAAATTAGTATTGCTAGAATCCATCTTCAAACGTATGAATACAGTAGTTTATGAGCACCTACTTACAGAGTGGCACAGTAGAGTGAATGTGTTTAATTACTTTGACATTATTTCTTGTCTTGTCCAACTCGAAATTTTGAATTGATGAAGGTAATCAATTTCACCGTGCGTCTGTAGTAAAATATACAATGCATATATAGAGGTTATACATATACCTAAAGAGGGACTGTATATTGGAGTTTTTTTCAACCGAATTTAAAGTCCAATCCCTAAGATGCCTAAGCCTAAGATGCATTGTGGCTGATTCATTCCACGAGAGAGTTATTTCCTAAACTTCACACTCGATATGTTGCGTATCTCGGGCAAACGTTGAAAACATATTTTTGAGGAACGAGTCCAGGTCTTAAATCCATAAATATAGTATATATCTCCTTGTGTTCCGTTTGCCTCGAATGTGATATATCATACTTAATGATGTGTGAATTTCTTTACAAGTACACCTTTGATGTCAAAACCTTTAAACCGAAGTATCGATTCGAATGATTCGATTTAAAGGCAAGAAATATTGAACAGAGAACAGCTCTTAGAAATCAATTGATCGGAATGACTTCTGTAAAAAATATGAAGCTGTTAACGAATTTCTTCTGTAAAACCACCAAAAAACATTGTTTTCGGTTATTCAATTATCATTAATGAATGAAAAACTTTTTAAATGAGGGTCTATTTAATAATCTGCAAACGTTTGTCTTTTTGATCAATATTCCATCGTCATTAGTGGATAAGAAATGTTTAAAGATTTTGCGTTTGAAACACGCAAACAATCGTCTTTCTGGGCATTCACTTGTCATTAGTGGATATAAAGGTAAAGTTGAAATAAAAAAGAGAGCTCCACGTTTTGATATATTAAGATTATGGTTTAAGAGGCAAAACCATGCCTATTCCTATGTCCTTAATATGACTTGTAAATTTGTCATGCGTTCTTAATTGAAAACCGTATACGCCATTGCGGCTTTATAATCCCACAGCTTTAATTAAAAAACTATTTTCTGTCCTTTAAAAACCTGGATTCACACAACTTATACGCTGATTTACTCGGTTGACTAATAATAAAGTCCACGTGAATTGTAACCCCCATGTAGAGGGGCGCTTAGTGAAAAATCGCATGAAAGTATATTATACTGAGTAAACTTACTTCCATGCTGAATAAAACAAAGATGTTTATCAAACATATGACAGATTGTCAAGATGTTTTAAATGTAGATGATCGACAACATTACAGGAATAAATCTGAGGCCGCGGAGATAGGAGAATAAAAAGCAATTCGGAAATAATAACCGAACAATAAGTTTTGAAATCCCCGTAACTTTTTACCATTTTTGAGTTGAAAAATAATACTTGGCAAATCAATGTAACTTTTGATAGGCTTTAACATGATATATGACACATATTAAGAAGACATTGGTATATGTCTGCCTAGGGGGGGGGCATGCTTTCGGGATACCCCGTAGACGACACTATGGAAAAAGAAAAAACATCGAAATAATTGTTTAAGACATTTAGCATATCCTACACAAGCTTTAATGCAAGTTACGATTCATGAGGTAATAAAAATCACATAACACTAGGCCACTACTTTTGATGGAGAAGTTATTTAAGGCTGGATACGCTAAATGACTTTATAGATGTGTGCCATCTTTTAACTAACTGTCACAAACATTATAAATGGATCAAAACAATACTAGTTTGTCACTTTCCTATATTTAAACTTAGTTTGTATACTATCTAGAACTACAAACGGTCGTGGGGTCCTTAATATCGTTACCATGGATCTGTTTTGACCTGCAGAGATGGTACTTAACTCGACAAAAATCTCACTTGGCAAATATGTACAAGATCAAATCAAATAATAATTATCGAGGTTATGCCCATGGCCATAATTTGAGGCATAATTCTATTTATAATATGGAACGTTAATTAAACATACCAGTTCCTAGAAATTTAATTTACTTTGAACCAGGAATTATACATGGCGGACACTCTAAGTGAACACTAGTACAAGTCCCGCGCGACCATGTTACATGGTAAGAATAATTGTAGTTCATGTAATACATAACTATAATCGGAGATAGGTATTCAAGAAATTATTCAAGTTTTGTCTGTCCTGTTTCCTGGTCACCCTTCATCATTTGGTTGTTATGTCACCAGCAGGTGCATTTGGCACACTGCTGGTGATATTCATTCTTTGAAATTTAGATGCAAGAAAACTGTATAATAAGAAGAAATACGTCGCAAAAAGGTCGCGCATTAAAGATATATTCACGTGACACCCTAAAACAAGCAGGCTCCACCTTTTTGCGACGTGTTACGTGTTTGATCCGTTGTCATGTTAGATGCACGATGCAATGACTCGATTTACTGTTCTTGGTGGGGAGGTTTTCCATATCATCAATAAATACCGACGTGTATTGTTTTTGTCATTTTAGAATCAGAAAGGCATTCTTCACAAATCATTATCAAAAATGAAATTTAATGAAATAGCCAAAAGTTTAAAATTGCATGAATTAGAGAAAGCTTTTTCAATTTGTCGAAGGAGTCCAAAAAATTATGATGTCAATGCAAAAAATTGGTTTTGTGACATACATTCGTATCATTTCCCGCGCAAAATATGAGACTTGCGAAAGCTGTCTTCTCAAATGGCCATTAGATGTCAGTGGGGACGATAGTACGATGCCCCACATTGTTACACTAATTACTCGATTTATTCTTAATAAGAACTGGTCCCCACCTGATTATTAGAACGTTACTTCTTTATAACAAAATGGAGGAACTTTCGTCGGAGGATTTTTTTTATTTTCATTGTTTTCACCAAGAAGGAGATCAAGTTATATCCAAATATTTTACCCGTATATAAATAGTGACATCCGGTGAAAAGCTAGTCAGGCATGGAAAAATAATTCCAACAGCTCCAATAATCGAGTGAGAATTCCTTACTTCAGCAACCAGGCTGGTAGCGTTGTGTTATAGCTTTTCAACGTCCTGGTTGCTGAAGGGATGAGTTTCCACCCGTTTGTTTGATTACCTCGTTTGCAGAAGATTCTCAGATAGTGAATTTTCAATTCGTATTCATTTTTTCATGATTTAAATGACGAAAGACGCAATTAGTGTACCAGTTAATGGTAACTCACGTGCGATTTAATATAAAGCCGGATATGTTCGTATTTCCACAGCATTTCTGTTATTTTGAGTTTATAGAACGTTCGCTTATTGATAGGAGTCTAACAAAAATGTACACATTCGTTGATTATTTGTGAGAAGATAAATCTGCATTAATCACAGTCCACATAAAATTCAGGAAGAAATCGTTCTCAAATATTATAACAATAGCTTTGATATAAATTTTGCTCTAGGATCAAATCGATATCCATACATAGAGTACCATTTTTACTGCGATGTGATTGAATGATGTAACAGCTCGGGGACAGGGTTTTGCGCATGCGTATACAACTTTGCCAATGGCCAGCTTGATAGAACAAAGCGTCAACATACCGTTACATCTTATATTGTTTTCGGAAACCCCTTCGGAAAGTTACGTTGAGAATAAATGAAGATCATATTATGAAAAAAGTATATTAAGTGAGTGCGCTCATCCTTTCAAGTTTTGCAACATGAATGCTTTTTATTCACTCGAAAACTGACACAATATCTTTCCACTAAACTCTGCCGTCTTTGGCTACATCAAGGTAGCTAGGGTATATTGGTCAGATTCACGGTGTCATAGGTCGTAGAGAGCGCTGTTTACAAACAACACTCACATTTTTTACTTTGCTACTAACAACGTATATGACCCCATGAATGCAGCTTATGCAACCGGGTTGCCTTGCTGTATGGTTTGATTTAAAGGTCAACTATAGCAAAATAATAGGTGAATCGAACTTTAACATTATGTAGATATCAGTTCAGATATCTAAAGTATATGTTACATTGCCAATCAAAAAGCACTAGACGTTGACTCTCATCATACAATTTATATAGAATGTTAGACTATCAAAAGTAGTGTGTACATCCTCCATAATTTGGCAATCTGAGGTCCCGTTGCGTATTAAACCTTTTTGCTGTTTCGCGTTCTAAATAAACATCATTCATACAAGTATATCATAAACTTAAGAACTATTATAAGGAGCACCATGAAGAATCAAACGTTAACATTAACATTTTTTAGCAAACTATCAAATGAAGACCTCTGGTGACCATACTTTTCGAGGGGAGTGTACATCCGCGTAACAGGCTGTAATTAAATTGAAAACAACGTTTGTTTTTATAGTTGGGTTAACCGATATGACCGCCAGGCTCTCTTTGCTGTTATTTCAATTCATTAAGATACATGTACTGTTTATATTACCCAGAGCATCAATTGATTCGTCGATAATAATATAATAAGACCGTGTCCTATTGTTACCGAAGTTAGATAGGAAAGCATTTCCAAGGACCGTCTAGTTAAGCGAACGACCTGTGGAATCGACGATGATCGGCAAACGCAACCCAATCAGTGCTTTTACTCGCGTGAAGGGATAAACGAATCACGACTTAAAGCTAAGCATTGGATCAAATGTACCAAGCAGATAGTTAGGGATATGGATTGAAGGATTCACCCTTGCCTTATTTTTACTTTGAGCGGCGTCATAAGCAAATGCATATGGATTTACCTCTGTTTAAATACACATTGATGATATAGCCTTGCTACCCAAGTTTATCGTTATCAATTCGAAATAGGATGAACATAAACTTGTAGCTTTATGTTTAATCATATCAATGCGGCAAATAATTAGTCGCCTATAAAATAACTGCAATAATACGTCTAATATCTAATTGATTCTACATTCGAGAAGGAAACGGGTATCGCCGTATCATGGATTTAAGGAAGCACATTTGCGATGTGCGGTAGAATGAAGCCCTTTTGAAAGTGAGTCGTATGAAGTCGGTCCGTTTCATACAGGATATTTTGATTTAATATGTAAACTAGGATATTTACCATGGCGACGATAAGTACAACACCTACGGCAACAACAATGGAAGGGTTTAAACAGAGTCGAGTATTTGGAAATATGAACAATGTTCATAATCTTACCGAGATGCCTATGAACGTGAGTGAATCCGCAGAAAAGGAGATAGAAATTTATAGGGTAAGTACTCCGACATATTTCATTATTCCCGTATTTTGCGCAAAAAGTTAATGATGTAGCAAAACGCGCTCTAATGGTCATGTCGAGTTAATCGCCCGTGGTCGGGTTCAATTATTTCAAGCAATTAAAAGTATTTGAAAAAGTGGCATTCATCAAATAAGATTTTCTATCAAATGCATAGTCTTTTTAAACCTCTAGCACTAAACAAAAATTTCAAAATGGCCCTTTAAATTAGCTTTTAATTAAATAATTTACATTTTAAGGTCCTGTTTAAGAACACCTTTTCTCATTTTTGAATCTACTTCGATCAATTTCAGATCTTCCGAGAAAATGAGCATTTTAGCAAGGGTGCATTGACTTTACATGGTGACATACCTGATGGTATCTCCGTGTTAAGTCAATGGTCAATGGTGTATGTCCCCATGTTGAGTCGATGTACCCTTGCCAAAATCCTCATTTGCTAAGAAGAGTTGTTAGAGGCTCAACAAGATTCATGTTGGATTTATTGCTAGAATCAATTTTCAAAAGTAAGAATAGGCGTTCCTAAGCAGAACGTTGGAATTGCTTTTCGGAACTTTTTGTTGGAACTACCCTAGCCAAACGTGTGGCCGGTTCTTAGCCCTATTTGCAAAAATAACGTTACATAATGGTTATGTAATCCATTGTGTAATATTATGTAATATTATATAATAGTAATAAAGATTATCATCATTATAATTTGCCAACAAACATGAGTTGTTATGTCATCTAGTCATATATTTTTGCCTAACCCTGAGTGCCAAGGAAACCAGAATGATCTAGCTACATAAATGTAATTAATGTAATTAAGTGTTTTATGTAGTGAGAATGTAGTTTCAAAATCGACCTGTCAGTCATAGGCTACTCATTAGCCATTTAACCAATGGTGTACCAGTTTGGATTATGTTTCTAAAGTATGGGGTATGGGCTAGGCCAGCATCTACTTGGATTTTAATTGACTAGCTATAGCTGATCCGTCAGCTATCAAAATTATTCTCAAGCTTACTTACAACTTTTCAGTTGCCACCCATTCCCCATCACCTCCCACGGTTCTTAGCCCTATTTGCAAAAATAACGTTACATAATGGTTATGTAATCTTTTTTTTTTTTTTTTTTAAATCATGTATATATTTCTCATTTTATAACTTTGTATACAAGCACATCAGGTCATTTTACAATATTACAATATTTGTGAAAACTGATATAATTTCAATTCTTGGACATTATTACAATAGTTTACAAATATAACGTACCATAAGTTGTTTAACCATTCATTAAAATAAGTATAGTTAGTGTCTTGTACCTTATAGCCAAAGACAAGAGTTTTATACTTTTTCAAGCTTAATTCAATTTTAAAATGATCTAAAATATAAGTTTGTATTTAAAATTGGCCACTTTTTTATTTTTGGATTGCTTTAAAAGTACCCAAGTCTGTATCATTATAATTTGCCAACAAACATGAGTTGTTATGTCAACTAGTCATATATTTTTGCCTAACCCTGAGTGCCAAGGAAACCAGAATGATCCAGCTACATAAATGCATTACACACGATAAGAAATAGCCCATGTAATGCGGTGGTCACATTTGCTCCGATTTTCAGTACGGGTGTTAAAGGGCATAGTAGGCCCTTACTCTCCATTGAATTATATGGTGACCCCTTTCCCTTATTATCTTATACACAATCAGGGCCAGCAAGGGCCGTTAAGAAGGTGGACCATAATCCCCAGGGGGGGGGGGCATAATTGCTTTCACACCGGTGCCCGGCCAAACAATATTTTGTTAAAATTGCATTCATTTTTTAACAAGTTACTCAATTGGAGCAAAGGTGACATAGGCATGACTGAAATGTTCTTTTTTCTTAAAGATTTACGAAATAATTGCATGAATAAACAATTGACTTGCAGATTAGTAACTCAAGAAGGCTCCATAAATCAGTCGTAACTGACTGTAAATGTCGATGCTCTGGCTTTCAAGAAGCTTTTTGCAAATTATTATCGGAAACAAAATAGAGGAGGGATGTTATGAAGTACGCTTACTTAACATCCTCATTTGAATATTTATCATGCATTTGAATTTAAGATATACTCGTATAAAATAGAACTTGTAAATGTTTTATTGGATTCGAGGGTATTATCCATAAGTTCTAATATGTCCATATTGTTTAGTTTTAATATATTCACATGTTCTTTTCTGCAGGTAATAATTAGAGTTCACAATTGTATGCTGGTTGCTATACGGTTGCTATATGGTTACATGTACAATAATACCTGGTAGCAGCTCAAAATATGTTAATACTAATATAGGTTAATATGTTACATTTTTATGTAGACCCTTTGTAGTCCTTTATCCAATGATGCGTGATCATTTAAGGGTAAAACAGTGAATAAAGTCAACTTATATCAAGTGTTCGAATTCAGTAATGCACATGTATAGTGCACTGTGATGTCATAATATGACGTCATGATTGGATTTAGGTGTATTGGGAGAGCACTGATGCGTCTCAACAGAATGTTTCACGATGATGGCCGGAGATGTTTTAAGGAACCAATTAAATTCCTTGAAACATCTTCGGCTATCTTCGCTTGCCGTACAAGCAATTCCGGCCATCATCGGCAAAAAAATCGTGAACCAAGGAGAATTTTCAAGTCACAATTCAGTCCAATCTACTTTTGCTAAAAGGCTGACAATGAGGCTTCCGATCATTCATCTGTGAAAATGAAAAGGCACACCCTACTTACCCGAGTCTCTAGCCAAATTACTTGGCTAGAAGGCATGACATGTGGACCACCTTGCACTAGTGTCAACGTTTATTCTGGGGTAAAACAATTTTGGGGAATTTAGATAATGGTCGGGAAGCAGGATCGAATATGGAAAGTCTGTGAACAATCTACGGCTTTAGAAGAAACTCCCAACATTCACTAACACATGCAAAAAGTATACCGTATATTCGATTATATCAATATACTTTAATCATCATATCTCATAAGCAATTTGATTTAAAAAGGATTCCTGCGCTAAAAAGTTAGTGAAAGATGACTCCCTTCATTGTACTTGGATGATTAAAACCCTTAGATAAAAACCTTTATGTCGAGCTTTTCATATTAAGTTTTGATCTGCTCTAGGGTAACAGTGTACATGTTACCATAACAACCATTATTTGATCATATTGTAACCATGGTACGCTGAATTTAATTTAGAATCGAAATAGCACGATAATATAACATACACATATCAAATTTCAGGATTAAATATTAAAGAAAGATTAAGAATATTCCATGTAACTCTGGATTACTTAAACCTCATGGATTCTTAAACTAATGGATATTTCACTCAACCGGTTACCTTTAAATATGAAGAACAGTGTCGGTGTATAGATGTTTGGACGGACGGACATTGAGTCAGCGATGGTCCACCCCGATTTTGAATCATAATTATTGCTTCAGTATGCAAACATTTGTAATAAGTCGATAAGGTTATCAGAGACACAAAAGAACTCTAAATAAGTAAATTTTCGATATGGATGGACTTTTTACGAGGTCAGTGTGATATCCCCAAAAATCATTATAACGTTGCAGCTTCGGTGATTGTCACAGCAGAACATGCCTTTATCCTATGCCAAGTAGAGTTTTAGAGAGATAAGTTGGTAAGATATATCCCGTATCCTGATTTTGAGGTTTCCATATCCTGAACCTCCATATCTCCCGCCATATCTCCCGCTCCAGGGCATATCTTCCCGCTTCGAATTTTTTTTTAAAATTTTAAAAAATTGAAAAAAAGAAAAATGTGAAAAATAAAAAAAATTAAAATTTGAAAAAAGTAGAAAAAATTGAAAAAAAATAGAAAAATGTGAAAAAATTGAAAAAATAAAAAAAATTGAAAAAAAATCGAAAGAAAATTAGAAAACTCTACTTGGTATAGGATAAAGCAGTTATGTACGGTCGGTTTGGATGTGGGGTTCATCCCTCGTGAGATATGCACATCTACCCATGGTCCCTACGGTCCCTTAGGTAGATATGCATATCTCCCTCTGGATAAACCCCATATCCAAAACCTCCCAGTACATAACCCTTATGTATATTGATCGTTTGTCCTAGACTGAGTCTTAAATTGAGGTGAACTTGTCCAAAGGCCTTCTCCACATACCTTGAGATAACCTTGGCTATACATATTGACTTTAGGGCTCCAAGGTCACCTAATTAAGAGTTATCAAAGGTCACAGAATCTTTCAAATACCTTAAAACGCCAAATACTTAGATATTGATATATTTGACCTTGAGATGACCCCGAGGAGTATAACGTTGACCTCGGTTCATCAAATCACTGGTCGCCAAGGGCGACAGTACCCCCATAGTCTCAAGACGCCAAATATCGAGATATGAGATATTGACATTTGACCTTGGAATGACATTGACTTCAGGGTCACCGAATCTTGGGTCGCCAAGGGGCACATGAGTCCCGGTGGTCCTTAAAACGTCAAATACTTAGATCTTGATCTTGATCTCAAGTCGTCTTATTATTTGTCGCCAATGGTCACAGTAGCCCCAATGACCTTTAATCAAAAATACCTAGATATTGACCTAGAACTGACATTGGCCCCAAGTCACATAATCATGGGTGACCAAGGGTCACAACAGCCAAACACGTACTAATGAACGAAATACCAAGATATCGACATCTGCTTTTGGAATGATTTCGACCCCAAGTCACCTAATCTTGAGTCGTCAAAGGTCACATTTCAAATTAGTCGTCTTAAAAAGCAAAATACTTAAATGTTGGCCATTTACCTTGAAATGGCCTTGACTTCTGACATTCGTAGAATGCTAACCGACCCATTTAGTACGTTGGGGCGAAGGTCAGCTGATGGGCAAAGAGGAGATTTCCGAACTGACAGACAGACCATCGTGCTTTTTATTGAGAAGATATACCTATACAGAAAAATCCCCAAATGTCTACAGTCTTTAATGCCATTAATCAAGCCCTA